CACACATATATTATACATACATAAATATGCAAAAACTATAAAATCTACCTGCTTTGGCCATTTCTTAGGTTTCATTTCTTTGAGACTTCCATGTGCATGAATGAAAATTTGTTTCTTTTTTTTCCTGTTAATCCGTCTTGTATCAATTTTATTATTAGTCTAGCTACAAGAGCTCATGAAAAGTAACGGGAAAAGCATCCCCCTTCCCAACGTTATAAAGACTTTCAGTCTGAATCAAATAAGTATTATTTCATAAGCAAAATACAGGATGTCCCATCCTCCTGTTACCTAAGATGGTTTGTTTACTGTTATGAAAGCAAATGCTATGAAAAGGAAGAAAGTGCGTCCTTTGGTATTTGAGACGTAGCAATGATTCACAGAGGAGGGGACCCCAGCCTGTCTTGTATTATGAGCTGCTATTTATCACAAGGGAGAGCTGGAGACCATTAGGAACTCACTCGTCGGTGCCTTAGTTTTCGCACTGCTGATGTTACCTCCTTATTTCTTAAGGTGTAGATCAAGGGATTTAAAAGAGGGATAAAAACAGTATAAAATACTGACAGAACATTATCCACTGGGAGGTTGTTAAAAGGCCAGGCATAAATGAAGATGCAGGGCCCGAAGAAGAGGGTCGCCACAGTGACGTGGGCAGTCAGGGTGGCCCTGGCCTTGGCCATGCCTGCCGAGGAGTGGTGTCGCACGGTGACCAGGGTGACCGTGTAGGAGACCAGCAAGAGCACAAAGGAGCTCATGGCCATTAGCCCACTGTCTGAAAGCATTAGGACCTCAACAGTAAAGGTGTCTGTGCAGGCAAGTTTGATAACCAGGGGAAGGTCACAGAAAAAACTGTCCACTTTGTTTGGGTCCACAGAATGGAGGGTTTACTGTGAAGACCAACTGACTTACTGAGCGCAGAACCCCAGTGAGCCAGGAGCCCGCCACGAGGCTTGTGCGCTTGCGCACACTCATAATGGTCACATAATGCAGGGGGCGACAGATGGCTACATATCTATCGTACGCCATGGCCACAAGGAGCATCATCTCAGCACCACCAAAGACGTGCAGGAAGAATATCTGGGCTATGCAGCCCTCAAAAGAGATGATCTTACATTCCACAGGAAATCAGCAATCATTTTGGGGGTGGCAAAGGTGGACAGACACACATCAGTGAAGGAGAGGTTACCAAGTAGAAAGTACATGGGTGTATGTAGGGCAGGTTCAGAGATGACCATGAGCACAATGAGGAGGTTCCTCAGCACAATGGATAAATAGAAAAGTGTAAAAAATGCAAAATAGAAAAGCTGTAGCTCTCGAGAACCTGAAAGACTGTGTAATTCAAATTCAGTCACTCCTGATTTATTTTCTTGGTCCATGATTTCAAATTTCTGAAATTGGATCAGAAATGTTCTGTAAAGTGAAATGGAAAAGCATCCTAAGATTGGGAGAGTAACAAACAAAGCCAAGTGTGGTATCAAATTCCACTCAACATACTTGCGTACTTTAGATCCTCATTAGCACACAAAGTACACATTGCATACAATCATTTATTTCGTAATGACTGTATAGTCTTGGCTTTCATCTCTGCATCCCAGCATGATAGCTTTCTTCTAAAAATAAACATTTAACCTTCATCTCCACAATTTTTAAATGGCTGATAAATTGGAAAGAAACTCCAGAGTCATACTGATGGGTTTTAAATGCTGTCTCTTGTAATTCCAAGCAACGCGACCTTGGGCAGGTTAATTAAACACTCTATGCTTCAGTTTTTGCATCTGTAAATTGGAGAAGTTAATAGTGTATAGCTCACAGGATTGTTAGGATTCAAAGAGTTACAGGTATCCGCTGTTTATTGAAAGTTGGCTTTACACCACTTTTTCAAAAGACTTATATTAGTACTTGTTTTCACTAACTTAAAGAAATCTGAAGAGGATTTTTGCTTTTACGAAAAAAAAGAGAAAAGCAAAAATAGTGGGCAGCATTTGTTTTTCAGTGAGTGTTACAGAGGCATCAGACTTCCTGGCAGTGAGGGTGGTATCACCAGGCTCCTTTCCCAGAACTACCCATAGCGTCTCAGCATCAGGTCACCAAAGCTTTGAACTGTGTTAATTCCACGTTTTTATCTTTTTTGTTAAATTACTCCTAATTTAGACTCACCATAAATATATAATGGCTCTTTCTCACCAGTGACTCTGAATTTATGTAAATTTAATATTTAATCTTCAGTCAATATCAAGTACAAAAAAGGATATAGTGCTGATATTGTCGATCTGTTTTCTCTATTTATGCAAACACATTTTATGATTCTGAAGAAGTCATATTTTATTCTTTAATTTTTTTACAGTAAATTGTTCATAGATGATGTTCAATAATATTTGTTGATCCAAATAAATTTAAAAATGCAGTTTTCAGTTTCAAATCAGCTAAAGAGAACTGGTTTTATTTCATTGGCTAATTATCTGTGTATTTTGGAGAAAACTCTAAAAAAAAAAAAACTGCTTCTTGAGAGGCAATCCACCCATTCAGTGGATCTCTCCCCTTAAGAATTCAAGGTCATCATGCTCCTTTCTGCAGATACCTAGTGAAATCTGCAGTCAAATAAAATAATAACTGTCCAAACCTCTGTTTCTTTATCTGGAATTAAGTAAAATTCCTAGAGGGGTGCGAAACCTATTTACTAAATCATCTGTATGAGAATCTCTTGCTACTGCTATATACAAAGAAAAGCTTATAAAGACCTACCCCAAAGTGTTAACAGTGGTTATCTCTGGGCAAAAAAATGCAACAGATTTATTCCTTATACATTTCTGTGCTTGCTGAATTTTTCTGTTGTGCAATGCGTATATATTACCTTTTCAATTGGAAAAAAAAAACAGTAAAGCACTTTTAAAAAAATACATTTCTATTTTTTAATTTAGAAAAATCAAATAAGTATTATGATAAAAAATTATCTTTAATGAGAAAATAGATAATAACTGTATATATAAAACATATATCATTGTATACACGTTACACATTATTACATAACCTACCATTCAACAATATATAATAAATATTTCCTGCGTCAATACAGTAATTTTATACCAGCTTTTTTATGTGTTTATTTATTGTAAGGATGTTTCTAACTTTCTGAATCATTAACATATAATAACTTTGCTTTTATTTAGCTAAAACTTTATGGTTATATACATTTATTTAGGATACATTATTATAATTATGCACTTAAGAATTTTTAAGTTAATTGTACCAAAACTTATCTCACTAAAATGATATTTGAGAATGCCCATTCTTCACCTCCCCACTTTTTTGACAAGATGGTGTATTACAGTTTTTGTTTTTGTTTTTTACTAATTTCCTATATAAAAATGCATCTTATTGATATATCAATGCATTTAATGATTATTAGTGGAGTTGACCACTAATCCACAAATTGATCATTTGTATTTTTTTACTGTACAATTGCTTTTACCCAGTTTTCTATGAGAAATAGTGTAGAAGTGATACAAAAATAAATATATTGAAACTCTCTAGAGCGAAACCTAGAGATGTGTACTTAAGAATCCAATTTAAATCGACTGCTTTGAATATCACACAAAAAATTGCATGCTATTAATTTGGGTAAAATTTCATAAATTTAAAAGAACAAGAGAATACTTTAAGATAAACAGATTTCTTGAATTACTCAGTCCTATAATTCCTAAGAAAGACACCCAGTGCTTAGTGTATAGAACTAGGAACAAGACCAAATCTTACTCCACATCTCTGCCTTTCATTATTTAATTTTGAGTAGTTTCATAAACTCTGCACCCTGTAAACTTAATAGTAATCTTATAGAAAAACATACGGATGTGCCCTTCTGTACCAAAGTTATTATAAGGTAAATTAAAGGTAAAGAAACAAACAAAAATTCTTAAAATGAAAAAAAAAACTTCATAAGAGGCAAGCTGAAAGTCATTTGCAAAAGAGAAGGTGGACTTTCAACTTTTCCTGATAAAAGCGTGTTAGATTGAGATTTTTGAGTGTGTGGCTCTTTCTGAACACTAAATTGTGGATACGTTACTCATCATCTGGATCCCTGAAGCCTGTACACACACAAATACAGGATCTCGGAAAGTACAGAGCCTGAAATAATCTCTGTAGGTCACTCTAAACTGAGAGCAGAACTGTGCACAGTAAGTGCTCATAAATTATCCATCAGTGATTTTAATTAGAATAACCAAATGCCATTAAAATAACTGAAATAACTGAATATAGTAACTTTTTATTTCTCTAATTTGTCCACTTGGAAAATTTTTTTTATTTTCATTCAGTTCCTTAGAAATGATGTTATGTGCGTGTATGTGTATATGTATGGAGATACATATATATATATGTGTGTGTGTGTATAGTACTTGATTCAGTCACCTCCAGAACACAATGTTTGTGAAAATCTGGAAGCTATTAAATACAGGATATAATTGAATTATATACAGTATATAATCGAATTTTTATATATATGTTATAATATTTAGATGAGATAATGAGCCTCCATTTCTTATTATGTGGTAAGAATTCTACAAGACTATACATAGAAATGTAGACATATGGATATATACAGAAGTATAAAGTATCTATATGACACTAGACTATATACACACACAATCTTGAATAACTCTATGCATATAAAATAGTATAATCTAGAATGCTCACAATAGCCCTTCAAGTATGGTTCCATCCTTATGTTACTAAATCTCAAGTTAAATAATTAAATAGTTGGATTGGCCATATGGCAAGCAAGTGACAGAGCTAGAATTTTTCATTGTAGAACCTGTATGCTAAGTGTTCTAAAATGGTATGTTGACATAATTATTTCTGTGAACATCAATGCAACAACTTAAACAAAATATATGTGCTTATATGTGTAATGAAGCAGTTGAATTTAAGTGAACATTTGACCATTCATGTGACACCACACCATACGTCATGACTGTAGGAATAAACTTAGAGATAACAGTGGCTGAGTCCTCAGAAGAGAGCCTAAAGTTTAGTGCATATAGAAAAGTGGACTTATCTCAGAATTTAACAGTTCAAACAAGAAGAAACAAATTCAATCTCACTCCCAGAATTAAAAGTAATAAAAAA